GAGGAAGTGTCTGGAGAAAGGGAAGTCTGGGCATCTTTGCTTAGACTGCTGCCCCCGTGACCCGGTTCCGGATAAGCGGAGGAAAATGGATGGAATGGTTATAGGGAGCTACAGAATCCCTTTTACAGGGCACATTGCTGAGACAGCAGGGGTTCTCAGCCACTTTCTAATGCAAATGTGCATTCTGTCTAGCTTATCTTCTTTTGCAATAGATAGGTATCATATACCATCAGGGTCCACAACTATTGTGGCAGCAAACCAAATTGCAAGATGAATCGAAATTTGACTGCAAGGCCCAACATCTCCTCACTATTTGTATAAACACCACAGCTCACCAGAACCTTGTCCTGACAAGGGAACTGAAATTAATCTTATTTTAAGAAAACCAGTAGCCTGAAAGATTACACTATTTCTGCTGTATCACTTTAATTTTTGAATTGGGTCTAATTATCCAATGGCCTGTTTAGGTTAGGTCTGGTTGTTCTCTGGCCTCTCAGATCAGGAATCTCCGTCTATCCATCCATCCGTTACCTATACCACATATCCTGTAGAGGGTTGGAGCTGGATCCTGGCCTACACTGGGCGAGAGTTGTGGTACACCCTGGACACACAGAGACAGACAACCACCCACACTCACTTTCACAGGAAATTTAGAGTCACAGGTCAAACTACTGTAAGTAGATCAGTGTAGCACTTGGCTACACTTCTATAACACATATTGTGAGAAGGTTAAATGCAAGATTCAGCCAAGCAGAAAATACATGGACATCTAACAGCATTATTTATTACAAAGCCAACAGCACATACAGTATGAGAGAGCTACAGTTAAATAAGTTAAGGGCATAGAGCTGTGCCATGTTAGGAGACTTGGCTCTGCTGTATGTCAAGTTGGCCAAATATGGAGCAACTGGAAATGAATGAAGAAAGTATAAAGTGCATGTTACTTATTACCATGAGTAAGATGCACTTTATGTGATCAGGTAGAACTCTTACTGATATTTTTCAGTTTTTATAATTACAATTTGAATTTAGAAATTTTAAAATGTTATATAAAACATAATAAAAACTGGAAATCCTCCCATAAGTTAAAGAACAAAACAGACACATGTGCAGCATTTATAAGTCTTATTATTCAACAATATTCACATTACAACATCAACACTGCTCAGCTTGTGACAGGTTCTAATAATACCAATATATTGTATAGCTACTTTGTAATGCATTATCAAGAGGCACTTCCAGTAAGTCTGGCAAAAGAGGAGCTACAGTATTGTGTCTATATTACAAAACAGTAAAAATAAATATTTTCCTAAAAGTTATTTGTCGTAATATACTTTTGAATCTGTAAAGTATGTATTTTTTATATAAAGTCAAACAATATCTAGAAATAAAATGTCATATTCCACTTAAACAAATACTGGTGAATCACACATTTCCCCCATCCTGTAGGTATTGCTACGTGTTAAGTGCAAGATATTGGAGAGATGAAAAGAACAGAGTCTGTGGAGCTTCTGCTACAGTAGATAACAACATACCAGTCTTGTTTGTCTTCCTCTAAAGGTGGTGAAAAAAGTTTGTTTTGGTTTCCCTTGTGACAAACTGATGAATAGCATGAAGTGCATTCAAACAATGTATACATACATACGTGTGAACATGGTATGGCACAGGAGCATGACCTCCTTTAAAACTGGATAAAACAACAAACAATGCAAAAAGGGAATGTTTTTGGTTCAAACCACTGAAAAGAGAACTACAAGGATTTCAGTCTGAGAACAGAACAGTTGGCCACTTCCACTGTAGTGCTACTGACACAGCAGTAAAGTTGTGTGGACAACACCATGAGCTAGCTGAACGCAGAGACAACTCTTAATGTTGCTTTAATCTGTCCTTTCTTCACATGAGATCAACGTGCACTCAGGCATCCTCGTCAGGTTCTGGATAACACAGATGAACAAGAAGATGCAGGAAACATGCTCCTTTTTAGGGCCTGTTTTGTGCAAATCACAACAAAGTTCAAAAAGTTTCTTTGGTTTGCACAAGTTAATCCAGCGTGCAGCAGTCCCCTTCCTCTAGTTTTTTGAAAAAGCAACCACTGATTTGATAAAAGACATAGTTTAGTCGTAGGCTCTGCACCTTTGTAGTATTTTAGACATATATATAAACATTTTCTAAAACAAGATAAGTTATTATGAATGGCCATGTGTTTGCTTGATGACTGACACCAAACAGCCAACAGATGAGATAAGATCTTAAAATGTGGTTGTATCTAATCTACAGTATTTGGGATTTTAAAACATTATTAGTCACAAAGCTTCTTGTCCAACTTCTCGAGAGTCTAATGAATTCCATTCCAGGCTTGTTGGCCCATTTACTACAAAACAGTCACTGTATACTTTACATTTTGCAAACGATGTGGCTGTGTTTTACAAATCTGGATGTGTTCAGTTACCGTTCATGCATCTGACAGACGACACTAATGCAAGCAAGTTTGTAGAATGTGCTAAAAGATTTCTATGAAGTACAGAAATGAAACAACAATGATGGCAGCCTGGAAAATGCACAATAATACTATGAAAACATCTAAAACTGTAAAGCCTGAACTGGAAAGTAGGTCAGCTACTATGTTACTATAAGTGTATATGATTTGCAACAAGGTGAGACTTGCAGAAACACTGGCGTGATTCTTTAATTTCATGGTGAAAAGAACTGGAGGAAACTTGTTGACCACACCTACAGTACATGTCTCACTCAAAACCCCCAAATGGCAACAAACCACTGACTGTATATATGATGGGCTTTCTGACAGCTCCCAGAAGTGAAGCCCCCTAGTGGTTGGTTGCCATATAGGCCACACTATAGCCTCGTAGTAGCCACACTAAAAAAGTCAAAGTACAAATCAGGTACACTTTTCTCAGAGGTCACTTCTGTGGTTTTTGGTAGATATTATCACACTGATGTGTGTACAAGTGGTCATTGTTTTGGTAATTTTGATTTTAAGAAGTTATTTGATGGTATAAAAAGAGGTGCATTTCGGTTGATTTGACAGCTTTGATTGTTGGTCCGATGCTGTCACTCCACTTCCGGCCGCTACTACAATATTTTGGCTTCACTTTTTCATAGTAGTAGGAGGTGGTGATGCCATTTCCATCATATATAGAGTCAATACAACAACCACATACAAGCTTGAATATTGTGGATTACTGATTTAGACTGACAAAAATAGCAAGGCTTGAATTCTGGCACAGCTTTGACTAAGTCTCTTTGATTGCTGCCCTGTAGTGTATACAGTTAGTGTGGTGGGACTAATGCTGGCTATCGAACTTCATTACTTTTATGGCATCAACTAAATTACTTTAATATCCAAACATGTTGAGCATCGAAAAAGTTTTAGTTATTGATGTTAATGTTAACAAAACGTTTTATGCTAGGGAACTGCTCTGAGTGCACAAAAATGCTAAGGAATTGAAAAATAAAACTAATGGCCTGTACTAAAATGTGTAATGTATGTATATATTCTTTTGTTAAAACTGATTTTATAAAATTGGTATCAAAAAAGTATTGTTTGGGAACTAGTGTCCAAGTCAAGGTGTCAGTATTGGTACTGGAATTGAAAATTTTGGAATGATACCCAGCCCTAGGTGGGACTGAGAGGTGAGATCAGAGGAGGAAAGTGCTTGTTTTGATTGACATGATCCCTAATGAGCTTTGAATTGTCTGATCACATAGGATTCATGTAAATAAATGGAAGAAGTGTGAAAAGATCTGCAGGATCCAAAACATTCAGCGCATGGGATGATACAGGTGTGAGATAGAAAATAAAAAATTCATTGCACATCAGATTGCAAGTGTAGCACTGATATGCAGTAGGGTGTGTAGGGTATTTACAGCTGATGGAGCTCAAGCTCTTTTATGTGTGCACAAATGTGTTTACAGGAGGCTTGCTGAGCCTTTTACAGTCTTGATTATTTTTAGTATAACTGAAGTTTGAACGCTATGCTGCCGTACAGAGATTCATAAATGCTCAACTGAAAGACCCCAGTCTTACAAGACCCACATCTGTTAAAACCGCCATGTACCAGCTGCTGTTTACAGATTATTTTTACTGCTACATGTTGACTCATCATGACTAGACAATGCAAAGAGAGGCTACTGGAAGACCTGGTCCAGGAGGGGATTTGTGAATCCAAGTGTGTGCTGTTGCATACGTGTACGCCACACATACACTGCTGCCACTTGTACTGGCAGGAGAGGAGCACATTGTTTTCAAGGGTCAGCTATCACCATGGCTTCTCCTTTTTTCTGTTACCAAGCAACATTAGGTCTCTTTATTATGGACTAGTTTGTCCAGGGCTGCCTTCCTCAACACTGGAGTTAATTTTGCTTTTACTTATGTATTATTGTACATTATACAATCAGTTGCCAGTTTATTAGGTATGCCTAGTTAAAACAAATGCAGTCCTGCAATAAATTGCCTAGCTAAAACAAATGCAGTCCTGCAATAAATTATCCTTCATGAAAGTGATAATGTTATGATGGTGTGAACAAAATAATAGAAACACCTTTCAGTATAAGACAGTACAATTCAACAGCAATGCAAACTATATCTTCCAAAATGAGCATATAGTTGAATCAGCACCTCTCTGAAACAGTTTCAACAAAACTGATCATTATCACCTTCATGAAAGAGGATTTACTGCAGGGCTGTTGTATTAGAGTGCATTAGTTTTAGCTTGGTGTACTTAATAAACTGCCAACTGAGTGCAGTTTGTAAAGAAATGTTCCTTTTTTGACTGTCTATAACAGCAAGCATAAATAAAATCAGACCTTTACCACCACTTAAAAGCTCTCAACTGTAACACAAGTAGTAAGCTCAGGCTTTAGTTTGCACAGACTTCCTTTTTTAAATCAAGCTCATCTACTGCACCCTTTTGTAAGTATTCAGTCAAGAGAATTACATTGGACACTTCAGTCCTCCTTTGCACAATAGGCATTTTAATAACAGTGCAATGGCTATGGCTGAGGATTTATATGGTGTTAACATTAGCACAACTCTGAGTTGAGAAAATGGGTTATAGTAGGACAAGTTCCAGTCGTGTCTGTAAACAAACCTGTTTAATAGACAGCTTAGTCAGTTTTTATCCATAAGGTGTAAATAATAAATTGTTGATGTTTGGGTTTTTATCTTGTGCTCTTTTTTTAGTTGCTGTTTTCGTGTTGTTGATGTTTTTTGTCTTTGTCTCTGTGTTACTGATCCAAATAATGCCAAATGCCTCTGACAATTAGTGCCACTGCACTAAGTCCATCTCACCTCCTGAGCCAGCCTTAAACATTAGCCAGCTCCTATAAAAAGTGCTATTAAAATCCAAGAAAATCTTTCAGTTTAGTTAAAATGAGCCCCTGATCACTTTGCAATGTTGCTGCAAAGTGCTTACTACAAATCAGAGAAAACACAAAGCATCCCTAAATCTTTGGATCTTAATCCACAAAGTTCCACTGTTGCATCTTCCAGTGTTCGATCAAATACACTATACTGCATAGTCCTGTGATATGTTTTGCAGTCTTGGCAACATAGATCATCATGTGATTTTGAGTCTGATCAAAGTGGCTCATCCATAAAGATGAATGTGTTGAAATGTGAAAAACCCTTCTGATCCTTCACAAGCAGTGAAGTTAAAAGGCTTCTTCTTCTTCCACTTCTGCTCAGACAACCCTTTCTCCTTGTTCATGCTTTTACTCCATTACTACCTGTTGGGAAATACACTATCAATAAAATCCAGATGTGTGGTGAGTCCTTTGGCCTATGATCAGATTGAAATGGAACTTTTTTGAATCGATCGCACTTTTGGCCAAATATATTACTTTAAAACGAAACTCTACAGAACACAGACCTCATCTTCACTGAGTTTTTGTCAAAGCTGTGCATTTTTATCTGTGTTGTACAAAATTTTTGATTTCCTCAGTGTAGGTAAAAAAAAAAACCTGATAGTGTCAAAGACGATTACAGATAGCAGCATTTGCGATGATGAATCTTGCACCTCATTAATCCGAAATTTGGCTTTGCCTGACATAATATTAACATCATATTTTAATTATTATTACACCATTTCATATATTGTTTCCTTAATAAAACATACTACCTTATTAAATAGTTCTATGTCTTTTAAGTTAGTCTTAATGTGATTAAAAGTACAGTATGATCTACTGTGTTGTATTATAGGGACCAACGAGTACAGAAAGAGCATCCATCCATTATCTATACCGCTTATCCTGAATAGGGTCACAAGAGGGGATGGAGCCAATCCCAGCTGACTTTGGGCAAGAGGTGGGGTACACCCTGGACAGGTCGCCAGTCTTTCACAGGGCTGACAACAACCACACAGTCTCCCATGAACAATTTAGAGTCACCAATCAACCTGCATGTCTTTGGACTGAGGGAAGAAGCCGGAGTAACCGGAGAGAACCCACGCAGGCACAGGGAGAACATGCAAACACTGAAAGAGCAGACAAAATGAAATTATTGTTAAATACATGTACAGTAAAATGTGATCAATAATCTTGTTTCCCTTGCAGGTCCTTTGTGATGCACTAGAGAACCATGTGCCTCTGGGCATATCAGTAAATCAATGACATCTCAAACAGCTCAGAAAGAAAACGTGCCAAGTACTAGGACAAGGACACTCCAAGTTTTTGTTTCTTTGTCTCTACAGCTTTCTGCCTTCCTGAGTTGTATGGCCTGGAAATGTATAGGTGTGCTGGACTAATGTTGAGTAAAAAAAAGACAGGGAGAAAATGTAACTAAGGATTTACATTGTTTTATGTTTCCCTTGAGAATAAAGCTCCTAGAGCAACAGGGTTTTTTGTTAACCTTCCTATCAGTTCTGAATGTGGAATGTGTTTCTACCATAGCATTGTGCGTGTGACTGTATCCGTAAAGCTTGTCTGGGTGTTGTTGTCTGCATTCATGTACTTTATTCCATCTCCTGAAATCCACACAGCTGAGACTCAGTGGACACAGCTTCTTTCCTGGCTTTCATCCCATTGTCTTCAAGGAGAAGGGGCTTATTGCACATCCTCATCCAACTGGGGACTCCACACTGTTCTGATGCATGGGAGCAACAAAAGGTGGGGGTGCTCTTGACAGTATGTTACTCACTGGTGGAGTTGATCAGTAAGCATGTTTTGGCCCATAGTGCAGGAAGGGCAGCCTGGGGGAGGGCATGGCACCAGATCCAGGCTAAAACAAATGCTACATCATCTCCCATCACTAGGGAAACATCAACCCTGTCTTCAAACCCTGTTTTTGTTAGGCACATATTACCCGAAACATCTTCTACAGTGTTGTGTCAAAGTGATGTGCTGGCTACCATATGAAGAGTTTAGTTGGAAAAGAAACAACTGTTTTGGACACGATTCCTAGTTTATGAGGAGGTCAGAGTTCATAGCATCACTCTGGTTCCTCTTCTTTTTCCCCTGAAGTCTCTGATTGTGGAAAGACTTCCTCTTCCTCTATGCCCAGTATCTCATCCCTTTCTCCAAGGGTGTCGGTCGACTCCTCCTCTTTGCTTACTTGGTCCTCCTCTTCCTCGTGAATGGCTGTGATTTGATCAGTTGGGTTGCCGATGCAGTTCAGATCCTCTTTCTGGGCCTCTGAAGCGATCACCCTTTTCCACATTTCATGGTTTTCCAAAAGATGTTGTGTGATCTGGCAAAACACTTTCCTCCTGCTCATCTTTTTGGTTTCTTGCCTCCCTGTCAGACACAAAGCCATCAGTTTGACAAACTCCTGAGGAAAGGCATGACAATAAAGGAATCGTTTGACATTTCGGGAAATATGCTTGTTTGCTTTCTTGCCAAAGAGCAGAGACTAGCTGTTTCCTCCCATTTTCTAGTCTTTATGCTAATTTAAGCTGATGAGCTCCTGGCTCTAGCTTCATGGAGGGTTATGAGAAAGGCATCAATTTTCTCTTCTAACTCTCTGCAACAAAAGGAATAAGCATAGTTTGATCACTTGGATGTACTGAGTACCATAGCATGAGAAAAGTAGTTTTAACTCTACATGTGTGCCGCATTATAAATAATGATAAGGTGGACATCAGTGGTCTTTTACAAATCAATACTTCATGTATTTTCAGAAATTCCCATAGAAAGACTAAAACCAACAATGAAGTGCCTCAAGTCATGGTTAATGTTTGTCAGCTGTCAGTCCTGGATTAGCTTATTCGTCTGTGTGATAGATCCCCACTATTGTTCAAATCAATAAAAAAAAAACACACAAGGGAAACACACTGCTGCACTGGGTGACACTTCTTTCATAACAAAACCCCAGACCTGATTATGTTGCCCCAAAGGCTCCAAGCGGCCATAATTTCCTGAAGACAGCACGAGTCAACTGTGCATGTGGGACATCTTGCACAAACTCTCTGCTTTGTTTACATTCTGCTAGCTCCTCACGCTCAGGCCTGGGGTTTGCTAATGAAGAAATATGTCACCTAGTGCAGTGATGTGTTTCACTGATGTGTTAATAATCATTTTTGAACAACATGGAAGTGTATGGCACTGACAAATAAGCTAATCCGGGTCTGACACACTGACAGGAATAGAGTAGAGGCAATTCATTGTCACTTTTAGTTTGGTTTTGAAAATACTGTTAATATCAAAAAGACTGGCCTTATCCTTTAATTAAGAAACAATACTTCATCATCACATCCACTTTGCAAAGCAATTTTTGAGCACATAGTGAATAAACCAGAGATGAAACAGCACTTGGCTTTGCAGATATGGCTTCACATGGGCTCAACCAAGTCCCAAAACAACACTGAATACCTCAGACTAAAAATCTTGACCAGCAACAGGGCATTAAGATCAGTTTTAACAAAGTGATGTAGACTGAATAAATACTCCCTGGGGCTACACACAACTCAGCAGAGTGATTGAAATACTATCTGCAACATTAACAGTTAAAAGGTTGACATACTGGAGGTGTCAGAATTTGTTGATGCATCCTCATCTACCATATCTTCCTCTTCTGTATCTTGTCCTTCCTTTGCCTCTTCTGGCTCCATCTCTCCCTCAGGTGGGTCAACCCAGACTCCCGGCATAAGAGCAGCAGAGTCATAGGAGGAGCACAAAGGTCCCACTATGTGAGTGATGAAAGACTCTTGCAGCTTAGCGAGCTGTGGAGCTGAGCGGTCCATGAATGGGCTGATGGGAAGGCCCAGGCTGGCTTCTTCATCACCCTAGAGAGGTACAAACATTTCTAGTCACAATTCAGGATAGAGAACACCTTTTCTCCACTGTCCAATATTTTTATTGCCTCGGGACAAAAGAAGTTACATGCTTGAACTGAATCCTGCCATCTATTCAGTCTCCTGAATATCAGCTCTTAAGAATTCATTTGACATTTGAATTCAAGCTTTGCAAACAGTCTTAAAATTTGTAGAGAATAAAATACAGACTTCTATGCTTATGTTACAGCCCAGTTATAACATTTTAAAACCTTTTCTGGTGTCAAAAGCTTTTCACTCACTGAACACAGAGCAAATGAGACGACAGGAGGGTGTAGCCCTCTTCTTGTCTAGTGTTGGCTGGGATTGACTCCACTGTGACCCTCCACAAGTGGGAATTGATTTTCTCAACAGAATATAAATAAATGAATTTCTAATTTGTGATTTCTCTGTTTATTTGACAATTTCTTGATAGTAAAGGTTGTGGTTGTGGTTTGTGTTGCATAATGTAATGTTTGATATTAAACAGCTTGTGTTGGGACCTTCATATAATATATGAAACTCTTATTGTTTTCTGATGTCAGGTCTTTTTCAAAGTGACTCAGAAGGAGGATAGAAGGGCAATTGCTATGGCAACCATAAATCTGGATGACGTCACTGCGCTAGTGGTTCTTGTGAGAGGTGTATAAGTAAGAGCTTGAGTGGGGAGAGAGAAGGAAATGTTTATCACAACCAGAAATTCCAAATGTTTTTATATTAAAGTGGTGCATTGCAGTGAATAATGTAAATGCAAATGTGTGTGTGCATCTGTAATGACTCTGTTGCCACTGACAGCCTCAAGTTCCATCCCTGTGATATTCCTCTGACTGTGAATGAGTGCTATCAAAAATGACACATTTAGGTCATTCATCATTCCTCTTAAGAGGGAAAACACACTCTCACCCTCCGTCTCTTGCCTGCTCTCTCTCCCTTCTCCCACCCCCAATGCTGCTGCTCAAAGGACACACAATTTTCAAAGCTGTTATGAGAACTGAACAGAAGGGTTGAGAGGAGTAGCAGAACGCTACGCATCAGAGACAGGTCAGAGGGAGGACAGTAGCCTCAGCAGTCACCACAGCTCTGACGGGAGGGTTGTAGCTGTTACACATTGTTCTGATATTCTTTATTCTCAAGTTCACATCATTAAAATGGACTAAATAAACAAAATAAGTTGAGTTTTATGATTGTCAAAGAAGCCTTGTGATATTAAACTTCCGTAAATCCTCTACAACTGTGTAAAAATTTTGAGAAGAATAAATATTTTGGATACCACTGAGAAAAATCTGCACTGGCTTCAATTATAGTTTAAAGGTCTCAGAGGGGGTGCCATTCTAGTTACAACATGTTGTTGCTAGGCGAGTATTCATTACTTTCTGGGTAATCAGATTTAATCTTTATCGACTTGCTTGCCCCTAAATGAACTGACCAATCAGAAGCATTGTTAAGAGGAGGATTTGTTGCCAGGCTCAGTCTACAGCAGTATCTTACATATTCATGAGCTGGTAGTGTTTTGGCCATTCTATTTTTGCTCATGGGAAACATCCAGTTACAAACATGAAGGCTGCTTGAGCAAGAAACTAAAACCCTCTAATCAGGAGCTACACAAGCTACATGTGAAGATTACTTAGCTTAGCAGGCATTTTTATAAGCATACCTGTTCGTAGAATTCGTTGACGATTCCCTCTGTCCACTGCAGGTGCAGCTCCTTATACTTCAGTGGTCCACTGACATCAGCCAGCTTGATGCACATCTGGCACACAAGCAATCGGTCGTTTTCGTTGGTCCAGTTAATGCCAGACACACCTTCATCACCCACCTGGTGAGATGTGCACGGGAAGGTTTGTGGAAACACAGTTATGGATTGCAAAAAAATCCCCTGAGGATTGGTTATCATCTTAGAGTTAGGACAATTTGAAAAGAGATGACAGTTTTTAAAACAAGAACAGAACACAAATATATAACACGAGAAGAAATAATAACACAACAGTTACAGATGGCTGATGGTCACTTTTTCTACAGTTTTTGTGAATGCTTACCTTTGCATTAAACTCTGCAAGAAAGTCAAAGTGCTTTTTGAGGTCGGTGGCCAGGATGGCTTCAATAACTAGGAAGCGGAAGCGCTTGAACTCTACATGTTCAAGGTTAACCAGGAAGTTATACTCAGGTTGAGACAAAAAAAGGTTCCAAGCGGAAGCTGCATGGTGGTTTTCCAAGACCGATCGGTCGTTGTATAGAAGAGCCTACAGTGGAAGAGGAGAAAATGAAATGAACACTAATGGTAGTAAGATCAGAAACCCAAAGGAGCTCACTTGGCCTTAGTTATTATGTAATGGCTTTGTTTTGATGATGATTGTGTCATAAACAGAAAAATCAAGCCATAAAAATTTGAGAACTTATCATGTTGACTAATATTTATCTGCAGCATTGCTGTTTATATGTAGTTTATATGTATCCATCTCATTTCACTAGATAGTGCACAATCTGAGTCACTGGAGGTGCCAGCCGGTGCCTCGCAAAACACAACAGATATATTCATATAATAGATGGAGCTTGGCAAAGTCAGAGTCTTGATGTCAGATATTAGCTTTGTACATAAATAAAACAATTTTACATGAAATGGCCAAATGACTATAATGGCTGGAGGTTCATCTCACTAAAAAAGTTATTGGATTGATTACAAGAAATTGCAACTGGAAGCCGCCCTTGTCTGTTGTGAAACCTGTGCCACTTTTCTATTGACCACTGAAACACACCTACATTTATTTACCTGTGGTGCACTGGTAGCTACTAGAAAGGCATTGGTTCTTCCAGGATGGTCATAGTCATGCATGGCGGCAGCTACATACAGGGCCATTAGCTCCAGGCCGGGGATAAGGCCAGCCAGGGAGCAGTAGCCTTCCTCCAGCACAGAGTTCATCTTGGACACCAGGAAGCCTGTGACACCAGGCGTGATGCCGTTCTCTGAATCTATGGGCAGAAAGAACAGACCCCAGCCATTGATGGTGCTCTCTGCTGAAATGCCACCACCTTATTTCTTATGGTAAAACCTAATGTGCTATTAAACAATTCAGAATTATTATTATTTTCACTCATTTCACCACTTCAGTATCTATGACAGGAATGTTGTTGACTGTAAAATGAGTCACTAATAAATTGCAATATCTGGCGGCAACATGGGAGAAAATAAATTAAATTCAGTCATGAAAAGTGAAAATGAGAGTGGGAGTGCCAGGATAGCTTGTCAAGCTGTGCATGCAACATTGCTAAAAATACATACAAGAGTGAATTTAGATAAAGCAGAAACAAAGGTGCACAAATGATGGATTTACTACAAATACATCCATGACTTACACCACTAAAGCCAATCAAAATGCAGCCACTAGAGTCAAAATTAGAGATTTAAACTGCCCAGGATATGGGAAGGAAGGTGATCTGGAGGTTTGGTCATGAGAAACTAAAAAGCCCTCACCAGTGTGTATCCCATTTGCAGTCAGCAGGGTGGGCAGACCTGGCACAGGCTGAGTGGTGAGGTACCAAACAGCATGCAGCACATCAGTGGCATGGATCCGGTTGTGATCTGGGGAGAGTACAATAAAACGTTAACTCACACCAGTCGAGGGCAGTACTGTGTTACTGCACACCACTGTGATGAAATCCCAGCTGGACCAAGTGTCAGTACTGTGAAGTTATTATTTTTTACACAAAAGACTCTTTGAGATGAGCAATCTGTAACATTGATGAAGCCTTTTAATATGGGCCTATTTAATGGAAAAGTTATTTATTGGCTCATGTTCAGACATGAGAGAACATTGCCTATTGTGCGTCTGTCATAGGACTATACAATAAGTTATAATAAATGTACATAATGAAAAACCTTTTACTTGTATTCTTATCTGCTTGAAGGAGACCAGTTTTGTAATTTTTACAAAGTAGTGGAATACGTAGAAAACACTTCTCTTCATAGTCCGTGATCATCTCCTCAAGATGCTGCAATGCAAACATTCAAGGTCTTTTTCAAACACAACACCAAAATGTAAAATTGGCAGAGCATATAAAGATTAAATTATAAAGGGGTTGATATTATCAGCTGTTATTATATTAACATTAATATATTCAAATAGTGTCTACAAAGCTCTGAGGTAAAGTGGCAGTGGATTTGCCTAAGGATCCTACATACGATCCAAAAATAACACACTGAGCACAGCCAATTTGTCCTAAAAGTTAATGTGGTAGGCCATGGAAGACAACGTTCACCTAAAAGTATCTGCACCAGCCTATTAATATTTTATTTAAAATGTACAAGTAGTATAATAAAACACAACTACTAGCAGAGAATATGAGTGGAGTGGAGCAGTGAGAATTTCCACTCCTTGCTCACAGACCTGTTTGAAAGCTGCACCCGGACGCTCTACTCATTACCGCTCAGCAATCACCTCAGTTTGGACCCTGCTCCACTCAAATTGTACCCACTCTCTCCAAGAAAGGGGAAAAAATCTGCATGTACAGTATTTCACTTTTAGCTTAAACAGTAGCCTTACAACTAAAGAACAACTACTTTTTTCCAAATAGAAAGAATTTCAAATCAGAGTTAGGCCTATGTAACAAGGAATATAACACAAAATGTCATATGTAAAATTCAACAAATCAATGGGCTTAATTAAATAAAAATAAACAGTACATCTCTATAACCTTTCAGTTTCCCTTTTAAAATACTTTAGGAACTCCGTTATTGAACTCACAATGACCAAGTGTTGGATGACTGTGCAAGACAAAGATCCATTCTGGGCATGCTTCAGGCTTATGGTGCGAGTGGTACCAGAGTGAAATTGGAGCGGAATGTAGGGCGACGCTCCCTCCTTTTTAAAAAAAAAATCCACTCACATGCTCTGACTACTAGTGATTGCTCGTATTTCAGTCACCGTACACACATGCTGTAATTCACATTCCTTTAAAAACACAAGCATTTCACATGAGCTTATGGTACCTGTCAGCTCATAGTGTCAATACATTTTCAAAATGAATTGACAGAAACACCTGTGTAAGCCATATATTACCACATTCTCTCATTACCAAAATAAAAAAAACTGAAAAACCAGGTCTTCTCATTTAACAAGCACAAACCATAAACACATTTCTGAAGCAGAAAGTAGATCAAAGGTTTATTTTGTGAGCATTGCATCCACCTTGTGGCAGTTAAAGGTAATGCTGGATGTTGACTTTTCATTTTGATCACAGATGTGGACCTTCTACTCACAAGGGATGTCCCTGTATCCATTCTCCAAAGCATGGAAGTAGTTCATGAATTCCTGTACAGGAATCCTGAAGGTCTCAAACAGACCTGTGTCTTCAAAGAGCCTATAAGAAACCTGGAACATAACATGCGGAAAACATAACCACCATTGTCCGTGCAGAGGTTTTGATACATCGTCATGCCTAATAAGAAAAACTCCGACTTAATCAAAATCCATTTTAACACTAAGATACGACGCCACTCACACCAGAGTTGTCGAGTTTCTGTTTTCTGGGTCCTAACTAATTATTGTTGTTGCATGCTTAACATTCAAATGCACTCCTTCCGCTACCTGCACTGACAGTTAAAGTCAGCAGTGCCTTAAGATGCTAATTACTTAATAACCCAAGTTCCTTTTAATTAAATCAGTATTGATTGACATTATATTTCCTCACTATTTAGTGCTTACCTGACTGAGGATGCAGCCTGTTTTGCCATGGGTCTTCTCCACTAGACTGAATATGGGAAAGTTCCAGTTGTTGAGTTGGCTCATCAGAGGCTCCAGGCCTGGCATCACCAGGGACTCTGGGGCTGAGACTGGCTTGTCCTGACAGGAAAATGAGGGGTCAGTATGGATACTTGTTGTCTGTGGAGAGGTTGGTGTACATTATAACATAATACTGTGGATAACTCGACCTTACTTCCCATTACCAAATGTTTGCCTACCTCTGGTGATGGCAGGAGTGGGAGAAGAACAATGCCTTCTGTCGAATACTCCATGCAACCTTCCCTTGCTTCAGGCGGCTTCTTGCCGCCTTCTCTCTCCTCTTCATTCTGTGCAAAGTCGCTGCTGTCACTGTGATTGGTCTCATAGGTACTGTCATAGGTGCTGTCGTAGTCTGATGAAGCTACTGCATGCTCATCTGGGGAAACATTGTACATGTTAGAAATGTGCAATTTTATTTACCCATGGTGGTAGTTAGTAAAAAAGCAACAGTGGGGGCAGTTGTGGAGAAGATCAGTATGAGTGAATCAACATATCAATCTAGAAACCAAGCTGGGTGAAGAGTCTTCATTTATGAATCAGGTTCAGTTCTTTAATGGGGCAGTGGTGACCTAAAGGTTAGAGAAACAAGCTTGTTCATTCCCTGAACCTTAAACTTGGGTGGGACAGGTGAAAAAGCAGCGCCTGCTTGAACAAGTTCCTTAACCCCAACTGCTCTAATGGCCACAGGTCCGTTTGTGGTTGTACCAGGCGGCTTCTAAAGCCCTGAAATCATCTAAACATTACCCGGAGGAGTTGTATACGAGAATGCAAATGTCTCAGTCAGTTGATGTGGACCTTAAGTAGAATTTACCCTGCCAGATCCCCACAACCAAGTCAGCATAAGGTCTGAGTGAGCTGGAGCTATGGCATCATTCACACCACAGTGGAGTGGTGCGAGCCCATGTGAGAAAACAGCAGTGTATAGTCCGGAGTATTGATACAGAACTAGTGGACGTGTTGATGATGTTCTATCATGTGACTGGCATGAAACCATAGGAATACAAACATCTGATGGTGAAAAAAAATTGACGCCAGTGAAAATATCTGACTGGAGACACGACACATTTCAGGAACTTCAAAATCAGAATCATCGGACAAATTTAAGGTACACAAGAGGTTTGGTTGTTTATGATCAAATTATAAACTGGCTACGTGACCGTGTCATGTCCTGCCTTGCCTCCTGAGCACTCTACCTGGGTGCGCCCGCCACACATAAACCAAACGAAGTATTTGCAGTTGGTGAGAACACGTCTGACACAGACTACATCCTGTTGTCTGCTACATGTGTGAAAGGGCAACTCTGGACAAAATCCAAACCTGATTCCACAGTCACAGTCCAGAGTTCATGAGTGAAAACAGTCCAAGTGTGAATGTGAAAGTGAGTGAATGTTAACATGGCATCAGAGAGGTGGCCTCTCAGTGATCCTACTCTGAATAAATAAAGGTTTAAAAATACATTTGGCTAGTGTGACATATTGTTTTCTTCACTGAGATTCCACAGTGTTTCTGTTGTTACTGTGTCTTGTGGAATACTTGCTGAACCACTCCTATGACCAATTCTCTCCTAGTCCACTGCTTTCCCTGAACTCTATAAAACAGGAAACCCTCAAAAATGGTGATATGCATTTTTGTTTTCATCGTATTTTTGGGATGAAGTGGACAGACAAAAAAAAAAAAAAGCTGAGAGCTTGCAGGCTGTGCTGTACATTGCTGTTTACCTGGATGGGGTATTCTGTCTCTTTTGTCGATAGATTCTACCCCGTGGTGTAGTCGATTGTTGAACAGCCTGCCACAGCTAATACAAACAGAGCAGAGAAACACAGGCACATTCAGCAAATAAATTCTGGTCCATCCTGTTCGTTCCGTCTCCTCTGATAAATGTTCAGTCATGTCCTCTCAGTAAAGACTAATGAAGTGAATAATTTTCCTCATTGCCATATAAATAGACACATATGCAGATACAGACACTGAGGTTGTCAAAACCTTATTGCGACATGTGTAAAGTTAAGCTTTCCATTTTTACAACTGCTTTTCAGATTGCAGCTAAAGATGTCATCCAGTGTGTGACTGGGTGAATGTTACCTGCTGCAGAGCGATGGAGGTCGCCAGTGAGGGGTGGTAGAGCTCGGGGCGCTCTGGCTGTGAGTTAAGGCTCTGTGTTGACTATTGGGGACCACAGAGCCAGGGGCCCGCTCTGTGAGTGGCTCGGGAAGCTGCACTGAACACGTCGTTATCGTCGGGCTGGAGACAGGTGTGCCCTGGGCAGGAGGAGACGGGCTCAGACAGACCAGAGTTGATATGTTGGAGGGGGGTAAACCTGAAAAAGAGTTTCCAATTTTAAAAAAATAGGTCTTTGTAAACAAAGACCTATTTTACTCCAGTTCCTTACTTAGCATACTCAACTTTTACTCAGTGCGTGAAGTAGAGTTGTACACACACACACCTGGTCTGACCAGTGGCTTGCTGTAGAGGTGGTTGGAGGCAACAGAGGCAGCACTGGAGGCAGACATGGAGCGACTCTTTGAGATGGTCATCATCACTGAATTGTTCCATGATTCACTGGTTCAACGTGAGAAAATGGTCAAATAAATAAATTACAATAATCTTAACAGATCTTAGAGCCAGGGAGTGAACAAGTGACATTACCCATCTGTGGTGTGTTTGATGCTAGCAGAACGGTCTCGGCAGACGGGGCCTGGCTCGATTGTGGGGAGGCCCGTGGCTGAGGTCGTTGTGGTCCAAGTTGATGAAATTCTCCTCAGCAAACCTGGGGGCAGACTCCGCCTCAGACGCTGCAAAGCGGAGACACAAAACACAGAAGGCAGATATGATCATCTAAAAATTACTGGGATTTTCACTGAAAAGCTACTAATAGTTTTTTCTTATTGGACAGTTAGAAACATCATCTTTATTTAGTATATTTAGTTCAAACCATTTATGTACTAAAAGGTCTTACAGTAAGTGAACAGTTCTTAAAATCAAACCAACTCTTTTATTCCCTCTCTTTCTTTTTTAAAATAAATATCATAATGTCATGTATCAGTATGGTCTTGGTAATATTTTCTATTCATAAAGAGTCATATTATTCAGATTGTGACTATTTGTAAAAGGTTGATAATGTCACTAGATTCTTATTTCTATCACTATAATGTTTATAATACTACTGCTATACTTGCTCCTGCAAGCGTCCAATTGTTCTAAATATTATTTAATGTAAGTTTGCTCTAATTTAATCTTCTAATAATAATGTGTAACAATAACTCTAACACTGTCTGGACATCTGTAATCAAAATGACAAAAGGCTTGGATTACAAAAAACACAACATGGTCATTCCGTATGTTGGTGGAGTATCTGAAACCTCAGGAGGATCTACACCAAACATTACATCCCTGTGCATTTCAAACCCAGGAACACTCTGAGGCTGGTTCACCCTAAGGACAAAACGCAAGCAGAGCACCGTATTATAAGCAGTTCAATGCAGTGATTAATGGCAAGACTTGTACAATGGAAAAACAAAACGAGAGCATGGCACAACACAGGAGAACCAACTCCTCTGGACAAGACTCAGCTGTCCACCTGCATCTGAAGGACAAGGGACATCCCTCTGAAGACAGCAATGTTCGCATTCTGGCCAGAGAGGACGGATGTTTGACATCAAACTGGAGCAACTATCACTAAACAGGGGAGGTGTTCTATGACACCACTTATAATGCAGTCTTGACATCCCTACCCAGGCACACATGATGACCAGGTAGATCAACGATCCACATGTCACTTTAACACCCCTCAAGGTGCTAAGGACTCTGCAGAGATTAAATACCTGAAACATACTGTCAACAAAATGAGCCATCAGAGGGAGAAAAACTGACACTACACTCTGCTCTGTGGTAGGAAATACAGCCTCAGGCTCACAAATAAATATGTTTCTACAGAGCCACTGTTGCACTCTGTCTCCTTTTCTCTACCATCAGAAAAGTAAAGACATCAAAGTAGACACAGGCCATATTTTTTCTCCCAGCTCATTCTCTTTTTTTAAAAGCATATGGGCGACAGAATGATAAGTTGAACGGAGACATGCTCGTTTCCCCTGTGGTGCCAATCTATCCAGTGTTGTAAATTTTGCTGTAAAGCCAGGAGCTAAATCTAGTTATTTGTCAGCTTGTATTTTTGTACAGTTGGTGTATTTTTTTAAAGCATTTCTCTTTCAGTCTCTCTCTCTCAAACACACACAGATCACAGGGTGAGAAACGAATATAGAGGGCAGCAGAGGATCAAATTTCACAAACTGTTGAAAAAAAGAAGTACATCTGAGCTTCGTCTACTCAGGCAGATAACCAGACACATACAAAGAAGCATCATTACCATCCACGTGCACACATGATCTCACTCTTCCAGTGAAGGGAATCTAATCAAAGATCTCTAATAATGCATGAAAGAGGAGGAGGAGAAAGAGTAAAACAGAGACAGGGCACATGGGGGTAATCTATCACAGTGAATATGTCCTCTTGTGCTGCTGTGAATATTATTATTGTGTGCCGATGCAGTTTCAAGTGCAGATCTGAAACATCTGCACCGCATTATTATACAACTAATGTAGTTGACAAAAACAAAAGTAGACATGATGGATTGATGCCTGTTACCTAAGTCTTCCATTATATAGTGACATGAATAGAAAATAGAAAATAATGGCTTAAGAACTCTTGTAATAACATGGTGTGCATTGAAAAATAAGTGGCAGTCATATGAGGTAACAAAAAGACAAATATTATATGTGCACCAAAAGGTAGGTCCGTAGGCATCGTTGGACCCCTTTTACTAGGGCACGTGCTGGGGCACTAGGGACGGGAAGGTTGCCCCATAGGTCTATGGAGACAGGTGTGTCACCACCTTCCACCAATTGGAGCATCGATATGTTATGTGGCCTTATGAGTTACAAAAAATTGACTTGAGTAATGGGGGGGGGGATGCTTTATGTCTAGCAATGCCCCTGGGTAGTTCTATGTTTGGAAGCTGCTATAAACAACACTATAGACTATGAATAGCCAAGTGAAACAGCCAACAAACTGCCAACAGGAACTACAAGCAAAAGTTACAAATAGTTCCCAAGCTTTTAACAAGAAATGAAACAAAGTGTTTTGCTGTCCAATTAAACTGAGTTCAAACCTGAGTACGAAATGGTCCTACCTTAACTGCTGTTTCTGATCTTTGTTCGGTCATGAAACAGGGCAACACAAGTGATCTGAAACACCAACTTTAATCCACAGCCACATGCAAATACAAATTTCCAGTGAGCATCTCACTGACTTCCACCTACAGGGGTTGGCATTTGAGTACACTCAGGCAGTGTTAGTCACTTTCCTAGTTGGCTGTCCTCCATTGCATCACACACTTTATTTAGTTTCCTTGCTCTCTGAAGTGCCTGCATACACTTGGAAGTACTGGCCTTGTAAAACATTGAAAAGCCCTGTGCGTCATTGTTAAGCCATATTAGAGGCCCAGACTATGCCACTGGGGTGATGCATTGAGGAAGAGGCACACCTGGGCTCACAGTACACATGTGATTTGTTCTGCAGCCTACAATAAAAATAAACCAAACAGCAGCTGATGCAGCTGGTTTTGCTTACATACAAAATCCTCAAAGAACGCGCCCCTTCATATCTGTCTGACTTCCTTAGACCTTCCGTCCTGTGCTCTCCACCCCCAGAATGCAGGGCTCCTGTCTGTCCCACAGTTAAAAAGAAGTCTGGGATAACCTCTCTGCTGATATCAGACAGCCTAAACCTCATCTGTACACCATAACTTTCAACAAGTTTGTGATACTGAGCTATAGAAGCAATAAAAACTGACTTGACTTCTGTGAACACTCTTATGGTAACTTCACAACTACAGAAACATTTTCTTTTACTGATTATGATATTTTCTCCCTACAGGGACACATGCTATAAATCTAAAGGGAGACTCCAACAATTTTACACAAACACATCAAAGTCTGTTTGCAGGGCTTGAGAAGTTCTGCATACATATGTGGAAAAGGTTGTAAAAATCCTTTTGCCTGCCTGCACAAAGTCTGATTAGTTGCACTGATTGGGGTTGAGGCTGAAGACTACAAGATGGAAAATGGAAAAAATCTGCAGAGTTACAAAGGAGGGAGCTCACCAGACTTCTGTAGCCTGCTCCCTCCTCTCTGCTTAATGCTAGATGATACATTAGCTGGTACGGGCACAACACAACTGAATTCCCATCAGAACTGCCTGCAGATGAGCCACATTATGGGTAATGTAGGTGCCAGGTTTTGAAAGAAAAAAGAATGTGTGGAATAAGAAAATATGGTACGTCTCCTTATCCTTGTGTCTTTTCCTTAGATATTTCTCTCCCACTGCAAAAGCCAGGGGAGATGCAAGGAAAAGATGCAAGCAGTGAGGAAACAAGAAAAAATGTTTTTAGAGAAATGAGGCATCCTTTCCTTTGAACTGTCATCTGAAGCGATGCCTGGATCTGCTTTCAGTTATGACAAGACCAAAATCAGCACATTTATAAAAATGTGATTTATAACATATATAATTTTTTTATTTAAACATAATAGCTTGAAGCAAAAAAATCCTGAACATTGAATTTTTGTTGCTGTTGTTATGTTTTATTCATCGTATGACCCCTCGAATTTATTTAGGAATCCAGTGGATGACCCACGCCTCAGTATGGGGACCAATGAGATGTTGATTTTCCTGTATGTATTAATCTGCTTTGTTATACAAACTATAGCTGTGTTTGAGCACGATCACAGTAAGTGAGTCTTGGCTTCACACTCAGTCTGGGCAGTCCAGTCACCAGTCAGTGCTTTCTGTTAGTTGTTTCCAGTTAACTTCCTTAGCCCTGGTGGTTCATCCACTACATATTATATCACAAAAACGCTTTTTAAGAAAGACAAACATTTACCTTTGGAATGGCCAGTCTCTCTTTCTCTGGCCCCGTTTCAGAGTCCGAGCAAGTGTGAGTGTCCGCAGGGATGCGAGGCCGGTGGAGTGGCTGCAGATTAATCTGGGTGCTGAGGAGGTTGCTGACAGCCTTCAGAGAGGTGCAGGTGTTAGGGGGCAGTGAGGGGTCTGCCAGCAGGTCTGTGATCAAACCATGGGCCTCACCCATCACCGCAATGTCCACTATCACACTGGTGCCCGAAGACTAGGAGAGAAGATGAGAGGAAAGGAGAGAAAGAGATAGAGGACAGGATAATCATTCATCGGCTGTTCGTCATTTCTGCTGTAATGCAATGATGATGCAGTGAACAAACGTCACACCACACCATACTAACACACAAAGCATCTTTATCACTATGCCTGAGGAAGAGGAGGACATATTGGAGACATTGTGTGTGTTCATCTGTCTTTATACAAAATTAAACATCTTACAGCTGGTAGTAGCAGACTATCATGCATAGGTCTGACACATTTGAAACCTGTAACATTGGATTTCCCTGATCAATGCCTGATATTGTTTGCTTGTTGATCCTAGTGTTCAAACAATACCACAGTCCTGGTAACACTAGAGAAACTGTTCAACTTTCATTTCAACAAACATTTTAGGATCTCTTGGACCAGTGCTGGTCTTGATGTGTATGTAAAGAATATAGTTATCAAAAAAAATCAGAGAAAGCCATAGATAGAAAAGTATATTAAAGAATAAATCAGTTATTTGAATCAGTCTCTTCTCTATCTCCTTATCATGCATCTGTTGCTACTCTTAACCCCTTGAAGGAAGCAAATCAAAACCAAAAATTAAAATGCTGCTAAAGAAAAATAAAAAGGTTCTGTTGTTTTACTGCTTCCACTTTTGCTCTCCTGCATCCTTCTCTCCTTGACTGTGGAAACACAAAGGTAATGAGTTCACTTGATCACTCCATTCATAAGCCTTCGCTCTCTCAACTGCCTGAGGCTCTGTGGGCTTAGCGACTGGGAGCGACCTCTGCTTTTGCCAAACTTTTTCACTTTGGTTGTGATTTTATTCAGTGGGTTTTACAAACATATCCCGAGGCTGGAAGTATGTGTACACCTTTTTCTATTGTGCTTAATTCAGTTAACTCAAGCTATCACTTTTTCTCCAGCTCACATATTTGTCTGCAGCAGAGCACACTCAAAAAAAAAGGGTGACTGGGGGTAACAAGAGCAGAACCACTCTGTGTTCAAACAGTGTGACAGATTGTCATAATTTACTTCTTTAAACTGATTGTATTAACTCCTCAAACATGTCAGAGCTCGTGGCTGTGATGTGATTAGTAAATGCATCAAGCACATAGGAAGATAGTTTCCTGGAAGTGCATGTGTCTGTATGTGTGCATGTGCGAGTGTGCATGTGTCACCTCAACCTGAACAAAACCCATTAGACCACTCCAGAGCTTTATGACATCCCGCTATTGTGACATTTACCCATTACCTCGGAGTAATGTACTCTGTTCAGCTAATGTCAGGGAGAGCGTGAGATAGGGAGGAGCATTAATGTGTGTGTGTGTGTGTGTGTGTGTGTGTGTTGCGGCTGTTTTTAGGGCACTTTTCTCTGTTAGAATACTGATACTTAACTTTAGATACTTTTTTTAGCATTTAGAGTTTAAAAAAACTCATGTTTTGCATGTTCCTGGAAGAGTGAATGTCTGTTGGAAGTGTACAGTAGGTGTGTGTACACAGTGCAACATACAAAAGCATTTGAACTCATGGAGCGCTACAGAGCACTGTTCTGGTAGAGACACAGTGGAGAAACTAGGCAAAGAAGAAGGTTATCAATCCCTCTCAGCATAAAGGCCCACTGAAGAAAGTAGGCAGAACGATACGCAATGAGCAAATCAACAGTGTGCACATGGACATGCAGATGTGCCAGAACTGCCCTTTGAGATCAACCTGTCAGGCCTTCAGGTTAATACTGTACACGCTGTGCACAAAAAGATGGGTCACAATCCCTTGACAAATACAGCACACTGCAACAGAAGACAATCTTAAAGAGTGGTCTGTGACAATGTGCACAGATAAATTAAAGAACATCTGTGTATTGGATTGCTGGGCTGCACGAGGTCAATGTTAAAATGTAAACTAATATCTATTTATAGTAGGGTTTGTCACTCAAACGGATACAGGTGGTGGACAAAATGACAAAAGCTTAACAGAAATAACAAAATCAGAATCAGAATCAGTTTTACTGGCCAAGTATGTTTAAACACACAAGAAATCTGGCTTTGGTAGAGAGGCTCTCAGTGTGTGTTCTAAGGCAACAAGAAAATAAAAAATATAAAAGAAAAATGAAAATGTATACTTTCAAAATAGGAAAATATGTGCAATCAAATAGTAAAGTGAAAAAGAGGCAACCTATTTACTGTTTAAATATATACAGTACACATATATAAACATGTTGTAGAAGAGCTTTTGGATTGATTTATACATTTACAATTCATCACACTGGGGTGAATGATGTATTATTATAGAACTGAGTCTGCTGACTCAGTGTCCACAAAACAGCTGAAACTGCATTGTATTGCATTGCGTTATATTGCCATTTTGGTAACCACAGGGAACTACCACTGAACTAAATCCTTCACCAGTGGAAATTTCCCTTAGTTATTTTTCGGTTTGTAATAATCACCTTGATCCTTGGTCACTTAAAAGGCAGCCTAATGCGTGAAACTTGAAAAAGTAACTCTTGTCTGCACATGTACAAAAACAGGTAACCTGACTTGGAGTTTGAGATAACATACATTTTAATTTCAGTAATTTTGAATAATACAGATTCCTCTCAAGCACAGCTGTATGTGTGTTAATACATTATGACCAAGCTCCAGCTCCAGTTCTCTTCTCTACCCCATCCCATAACTCTCTACTGAGAGGCAGTTAGGAGATATGTAGCCAGATCAGGGATAAAGGCAGATGGCAAGAGCAGAGAGAGAGGGAGATAAAAAGATAAAGGGAGACAGAGATGGAGTGGGAGCAAAAGAGTGACAGACAGAGAGCACGTGAGGAGCTGAGTACAAAGGCAGGCCGTGGCCAGTCAAGTGAAAAAGAGAACAGTGTAATCTACAACAACTATAAATAGAGCACTACAGTTAGGTGGTACCAATTGTTTCTGTACTACTACTACTGTCAGGGTTAAGGATTAATTCTGAGGCAATAGTAGCCAACTAACCATGCCAGAGGCCAAGTTCATGTTCTAGTTACAGAAGGATGATTGCAGAACTGCAAACGGTTGCAGGACTGCAGAGACAGAGTGTCATTGCGAGGGTATTAATCTGTAACAAATGTATCTATTGATTTACTAATGATGACTAGCTAAGTACAGTATGTGCTTTGGAAGGTACACAAGCTAGCTGAGATGTATTAGTTGAGTTTTCTGAACCAGTCAAGATGACGACACTTGGCTGCAATAAGTTTACCTGTCTCTCATATATATAATGTGTAAAGCATGATGCTGAATCAATAGATATTGATGCAGTTGTTTATTAACTTTGAGTTGAAGATACTGAAAACATGCAGACCATAGGTGTTGTCCTGTGATAACAAAAAGATATAAAGCCACATACGCCCTTACACCACATGCTGCTCATCATCCATCTAAGAACAATAGCAGCACTGAATTGCTCAGCAGTGGCTTCACTCTCTTACTTAGGAACACCAGTCTCTCTCTTGCATAGTTGACTTAAAAAGTAGGCCATATCAAGAAGCTTAATTTAGACATTGCTTCAAGATGTCCTATTTAAACCATCTCATCATTACTGATTAAATGGCTTTCCTTTTTCTGCACACAGATCCGCACACACACTCACCCACACACACAAAGTGCACATACAACAGCATAACCTAGACTGAAAGGGAGAGAATTAACCAGTACTGAACCTGTTTAGGACGATGTGCATTGTCCTGATGGCGTCCCATGAAACCCACTGAGTGCCTCCTTTGCATCATTCAGCTTGAACACAACCACTTTATCCCAATCTTGCTATCTATATTCTTACAGATGATATCACAGCTTTAGGCTCTCCTTCCTTCCTCTGACCCTAGTTCAAATGTCACTAAGCAGCTGATTTCAACTATGTAACCCACAAACGCTTCCTCACCCTCTCCTTTCCTCAGCTCTCCTCCTCTCCTCCTCTCTGCTGTTTCATGAACCTCCCTCTTGTCCCCTCACCCGCCCCTGCCTCTGCCATCTGCCAACTGTAAATGTTCACCAGTGGTTTTGGTGATGAGAAGACCTGTAGTACACAGAAATCAGTTATATTGAAAATATCTGGTTGCTAGGATACACTGGGACAAAGATCAAAGTGACTTGTGTATGGACCATGTTCGGGGCTCAGTTATCTTATGCCCATTACTTGTCAAGTGTTTCCTGTGATAGGAGGTGATTCATGACAACCGAGAAGCAAGTAATGTGTACTATCAGCACAGGGCTTTCTACGTCAGGAAACTCGGGTATATATTGATTCATTAAAAGTCTATTAAGATGGTAGGTTTGTTGCTGGCTAACAATGGAGCTGCAATGGCTGTCCAGTGTGGAGAAAAGTATGGATGATTTAAATATTAAATCTGGTGGTGACTACACTGTAGTATAAAAACAGGTGTTTGTTGAAAGAATCATGCTAACTTCTAAACTCTGGGATCCTTGGTGAGAAAATTCAAACCTTAAAAATATTAACTGGTGACCTTTTCCTATAAATGTATTTGAATGGACTTGAATTTTTGTGACCCGGCCCCGGATAAGCGGAAGAAAATGGATGGATGGATGGATGGATGGATGAATTTTTGTGATGTTTCTTCTCAATGATTCATGTTTACTTTGCATGCTTATGAGAGTTAAAATAATGCGCCTCACCCAAATTAGTGGAGATGGGAACAAGTGACCTGTTCGACAAGCAACGTCTTGTGTTTCACAGCGTATAAGAATTTAAAGATCACCTCTTGGTGGTTGTATGCCTACACCAACCAGTCAAATTCACAGGAATGGGACAGATGTGATGTCACTGACTTTGAGCTTGGACAACCAAAATCTAATCAGTTCATGCTTGAGTTCAAGTGGATACTGGTGCCAAATTTGAAGAAATTCTCTTGAGGCGTTCCTGAGATATCGTGTTCACAAGAATGGGCTGTACGGACGACAACCCAAAATCATAATGCAGCCATCGCCTGCACCAAGGCAGAAAAATTCGGTACACT